CGATCACAATTCACAACTACAATTAATAAACGGCTGAATTTAAATTAAAACTGCAGTAAAATTAGAAAATAATCGCAAATTAGCGAAATATATTGCAAATGTAGCTTATATTAAATCGCCATCAGATTGCACTATCGACTGACGTATAGTTATAAAGTATACTTTATAATTATACGTCAGTTTGTTGATAAATACGGCAAGCGCCATGTAAAGCTCATTGCAGTCACTGAAACCTCTGCGGAGGAGAGAGCAATCGGGTGGCGATTTAATATAAGCTACATTTGGAATATATTTCGCTAATTTGTGATTATTTTTATTAATTTTATAAGTTCATTGCAGTTTTAATTTAAATTCAGCCGTTTAGTGGGCTGCCTATGCTATAATTAGATTGTTGTTGTCGTTGTGTGAAATTTAAATTTCTCCTGCGACATTTTGATTGGATACTAAATATAAACTTTGCTGTGGGCGGAAAGCGATCAGGTTAAGTTTTGTGTCAGGCTCTATTTGTAAAATAGAGCCTGATACTCAGGTTAGGAATCGTGTTTACTTTCATGCAAATTCGAATAACAAGGGCAGATTTCGTTTTAAGCCAATCAGCGAGTTTGTTTACATTTTCGCTCTTGACCAATCAGAATGCTTAAAATTTAAAACGTAAACAAAAAGAGCGAGCAAATATTATCGTAATCTAAGGCTTCCGTGAGCTACAATATAAACTTTTTTTTCCCGAAACCGAAAGATTCTAATAGAAAATACATATGTCTTGAATTTTGTCGTGGGACTTTTTAAATTTCGACACAGAACGCGAAATATCGATGTTTGAATTACCGCCGTGATTGCGCTCGTAGCCGCATATCATATCGTCAAAACCGATCGATCTTTGAGAAATAACGCTGTTTTCATTGGGAAGATTTTGTAGTTTTTCCTCCGTTTTATAGTGCATGCATATTCTGGTATAATTTACTGTACTATACCTCTGATCGTGTTGTCAGAAATGCGTCAAAAAGTTATATTGGGCGGTGATCAGGGGCGGTGATAATAAAAGTGGAATGTCATATCCGGTTTCTTGTTCACTCTCGATACACGCGCCTGTTCCTCGAGCTGTTTGACTGATTTCGTCCATAAATACAGTATGTGCCTGTCTTAAATAATTTTCTTGTCTTGTCTTTGTCTGTAATTTGTCTTTCTGTGTCTTCTGCCTCGTCTTCGTTCTCCTGTAAAGTCGCTCTCAGATCGTGGTTGAAAACAGCCGCGTTCGCTACTTTGCCATGCAAGGTTCATGGAAGGACCTCGAGCTTTGTCAGCAATGTCGACTGACAAATCTGGCAAACACTTATTTCAGGCAAAACACATTCAATGTGGAAAGAATGACCACAACTACGAAATACTTTCCACGGGGGGCTTTATTTCTCGCATTCAGGTAAATCGTATTTTCTATGACGTAAATACAGCCAATTGCAGTTGAGCTTGCAGCTTGCATTTTAAACGCGTTGTTGCATCGTTGAAAAGTATGCGTTCATTCCTTGGAAACACGCCGTTGCTAGGGGCGTAACGTGAACTTTTGGCGCGCGTTGTAACGGCGTAAACATGTTTTTCTATTCTTGGCGTTGACGAATTAAATTAGATTTTGTCACAAAACCGACCAGGGAGTTCTAATTTGACTGCAGGCATTCTAAAAATACCTTACTGTTCCGTCGCAGGCTTAAGCAGCGTTTTTACAATATATTTAACTCGTTATACGTTTGTTTGCACGCCGTTCAGAAGTTCAACAATGCCCGCCAAAAGTTCACGTTACGCCCCTAGCAACGGCGTGTTTCTAAGGAATGAACGCATACTTTTCAACGATGTAACAACGCGTTTAAAATGCAAGCTGCAAGCTCAACTGCAATTGGCTGTATAGTAAGTTACTTGCAACCTACTGTATTTAGATATACTGTCTGTCCGAATTGCTTTTTTTGTTTTTTTAGATCTTTGTTTCAAGAATTTTAACTGTTTGTTTATAGGTCCCTTTTCTTTAATTTTGTATAGAATTAATGAAATTTTCTATAGTATAAATCCTTCAGTTTTTACATACACTTTGCATGGTGTGTTCTAAAAATCTAAATTAGAACAATATAATTAGAATAATTTGGGTACATTTTCAAACATTCTTTCATTTTGTAACAAGTACTATATTTTTATGTTATTTCAGTTAATTTTTTCTTTAAATTATGTGGAAAATGGTTAAATAAGAAGGATAAGTAAAGGACATTAATTTTGTATGTTTGAGTTTAACCATTAAACCATGACAATCGAGATGACAATAAAATGCACTGCTGTCAGACAATTTTACTGAACATCTAAGTGAAACACTTGTGGTTTTACAGTGGTTTAATGGATTAACCAAACAATCTATTAACCAAACACAGGCTAGATGCATGCAAGCATGAACTGCATTCTTTTAAGTCTGTCTTTGTGCCAATTAAGAGATTCAACTACAGCTCAAAGAGAATTATACTCAAAGAGAAGACAAAGGCTGCAAAATTTCTTGAATCCCATTTGAATCCCAAATGACCACCCTAACATGGCAACCCAGCAACCCTGAGTTCGACAGCAACCCAAATATCTAGATCTGACCAAATGGAAACTGCCAACTCTATTTGGAGAAAAAATTGTGAACAATCGAGTCCTGCCACCAGGCTTTACTTCTGTTCAACAAGTTCCAAATCCAAACAGGTAAAGGTAAAATATCAATATATGGATTATGGTGGTGGGGGGAGGGGGGGGGGTTAAAGTATTCTGTTTGTGAATACTGTCAAACAAAATTAAAGTGCAACACTCTCCACTTGACGAGTAAGATCGTCTGGTGTTAGACATAGTATTTAAAATAATAAAGTAGGGTGCATTGTAGTTTAATGGGTTAACAATACATATTGGCAGATTGTCATTAGTTAACCCATTAAAACAAAAGACTTTTACCTAGATGTTGAGTAAAATTGTCTGACAGCAGTGCATTTTATTGTGGTTTGATGGTTAATTAAACTCAAACATACAAAATTAACATTATATCTACTTATCCTTATTTAACCATTTTCCACATTCAAAGGGGAATTACATAAAAATATAGTACTTGTTGCAAAAATAAAAGAATGTTTAAAAATGTACCCAAATTATTCTAATTAATATATTGTTCCAATTTTAGATTTTTAGAACACGCCATGCAAAGTGTATGTAAAAACTGAAGGATTTATAGAAAATTTCATTAATTCCATACAATTCTTGAAACAAAGATCTAAAACACAAAAAAAGTAATTCGGACAGACAGTCTATCTAAATAGGTTGCAAGTAACTTACTTTATTTACGTCATAGAAAATACGATTTACCTGAATGCGAGAAAGAAAGCCCCCTGTGGAAAGTATTTCGTAGTTGTGGTCATTCTTTCCACATTGGATGTGTTTTGCCTGAAATAAGTGTTTGCCAGATTTGTCAGTCGACATTGCATGCTGACAAAGCTCGAGGTCCTTCCATGAACCTTGCATGGCAAGGTAGCGAACGAGGCTGTTTTCAACCATGATCTGAGAGCGACTTTAGAGGAGAACGAAGATGAGGCAGAAGACACAGAAGCGACGACGAAAGCGAAGCAGACGGCGATGATGATGAGCACGAGATCCAGCCAGAAGTTGGAGAAAACGAAAGGGCAATCCATACATTGCTGCAAGGAATCCGACATTGGAAACGACATTGACACCAAGATAAACACTGTGCTGTAGCTTATGGTTCCACCTATTTGCACTGGCACTTTGTCTATAGATACTGTTTCGATGTTTCCTCATTGAAAATTATTTAAAACAAACAAGCACATGCTGTATTTATGGACGAAATCAGTCAAACAGCTCGAGGAACAGGCGCGTGTATCGAGAGTGAACAAGAAACCGGATATGACATTCCACTTTTATTATCACCGCCCCTGATCTTTTTGACGCATTTCTGACAACACGATCAGAGGTATAGTACAGTAAATTATACCAGAATATGCATGCACTATAAAACGGAAGAAAAACTACAAAATCTTCCCAATGAAAACAGCGTTATTTCTCAAAGATCGATCGGTTTTGACGATATGATATGCGGCTACAGAGCGCAATCACGGCGGTAATTCAAACATCGATATTTCGCGTTTTGTGTCGAAATTTAAAAAGTCCCACGACAAAATTCAAGATATATGTATTTTCTATTAGAATCTTTCGGTTTCGGGTAAAAAAAGTTTATATTGTAGCTCACGGAAGCCTTAGATTACGATAATATTTGCTCGCTCTTTTTGTTTACGTTTTTAAATTTTAAGCATTCTGATTGGTCAAGAGCGAAAATGTAAACAAACGCGCTGATTGGCTTAAAACGAAATCTGCCCTTGTTAATTCGAAAACAGTATAGCATATCGATATGGCACGAGACTGTCGAGTCAGTCAAATGCCATTGAAAATGAACTAAATTTTCGTGTACAAACAGCGGCCAGGTCGACTTCCAAAGTTATATCAGTTAACATTCTGCGGATATTCTGAGTTTCAGTTTACTAGGTAAAGAATGGCATGCATCAAGCGTGCCAGTTTTTCAGGGAATGAGCGAGACGTCTCGAGTTATAACATCTCATGCATGCAAATTTCGCGTTTACGTTGCGTACGTAAACAATCGTATGTAAATCACCAACACACTGCCAACTTTCGTGCGAATAAATTATGCCAAACGTTTATCCAATAAGAGCTTCCTATTATACGGTTGAGAACGGATTGAGTGCTATCAGCCAATAGGGAACTGTAGTTTTGACGATTGTTTCGTTCAGTAATGAGGCTTTACGTTCGTTTACGGATCTATTCTAAAAGACCACACGAGTCAGAACACGAGTCAGAACACGAGTGAACACGAGTGAACACGAGACAACACGAGTGAACACGAGTGAACACGGGTCAGAACACGAGTGAACACGAGACAACACGAGTGAACACGAGTCAAAAAATTGTGAACACGAGTGAACACGAGTCAAAAACTGACGAACACGAGTGAACACGAGTCAAAAATGACGAACACGAGTGAACACGAGTCAAAAATGACGAACACGAGTGAACACGAGTCAAAAATGACGAACACGAGTGAACACGAGTCAAAAATGACGAACACGAGTGAACACGAGTCAAAAATGACGAACACGAGTGAACACGAGTCAAAAACTGACGAACACGAGTGAACACGAGTCAAAAACTGACGAACACGAGTCAAAAATGACGAACACGAGTGAAAACGAGTCAAAAATGACGAACACGAGTGAACACGAGTCAAAAACTGACGAACACGAGTCAAAAACGCATTCTTAAAGAGGCTCCCTACAGTTTTAAGCCCGTGATGAAGATCTGTATTGTGTAATTGCACGCGGGTTTCTTGGCGGCCCACAGGATGTTGGATTAATAATTAACAATTATTCGCCGAAGGCGAGGTGATTATCGGTGAATAAAAACCGAGACGAAGTCGAGGTTTTTATTCACGATAATCACCGAGCCTGAGGTGAATAATTGTTTTAGTATAATTTCATAGGTGAATATTTAGAAAAAAAATTAAAAATACACATTTCTTCGTCATTTAATTGACAAAACGGCGATTATCGCGTAACTGATCACGTACCTCAACAGCAGCCAATCAGCGTGGAGAATTTTGAATAATCACCTATGTAATTATACTAATAATAATTAAAATCATAACGAAAACTTTATTCAATTTTAATAATAATAATAATACTTATAATTATTATAATTATTATAATTATATTAGAATTAATTATAATTATATAATATATTAATTATTACAACAATTATTATTTAGTAATAATTATTAGTAATTAATTATAATAATAATTATTAATTAATTATTAATAATTATTATTAATTTTTATTAATTAATAATAATAATATGTAAGTATATAATAAGATGAAGATGATGGTCCATAAGATGAAGTTTTGGTTTTGTTTGTTGTTGCTGACCAAAGTTTGACGGTTCACCGTTCACATGATCACATCTTGCCACATGGAAACGTTGGAAACGGCTATATATATAGATGTATATATATATAGATGTATATATATATATATATATATATATATATATATATATATATATATATATATATATATATATATATATATATATATATATATATATATATATATATATATATATATATATATATATATATATATATATACAGCTAATTCAATAAAGGTTGTCCTTTGCAAACCTTAAACTATAAAACCTTAAACCTTAAACTCTAAGCGCGCAAAGCGTAATGGGAGCACTATTTAAGCAGTTTAGAAAGCATACATGGAGCCCATTTCTTAGAGACATGGTAAATATGTGCCTGCGAAAACATTTTACTGACAAACAGCTGCAATATTCAACTACAAAGGTTGAAATCAGTACTCCCATTATGCTTTGCGCGCTTAGAGTTTAAGGTTTAAGGTTTAGAGTTTGAGGTTTGCAAAGGACAACCTTTTTTGAATTAGCTGTTTATATATATATATATATATATATATATATATATATATATATATATATATATATATATATATATATATATATATATATATATATATATATATATATATATATATATATATATATATATATATATATATATGAATATATATGAATATAATTTTTTTATTTAAAAAATTAAAAAAGACTTCTACAGGCAATAAAAAATTTTAAAATTTTTTGTCCCAACGTTTCGCCGGTTAAGGCTTCTTATCCTGAAGAAGCCTTAACCGGCAAAACGTTGGAACAAAAAATTTTTAAATTTTTTATTGCCTGTAGAAGTCTTTTTTAATTTTTTAAATAAAAAAATTATATTCATATATATACCAGAGGCATGATTCCAAAAACCTATTCACACATATATATATATATATATATATATATATATATATATATATATATATATATATTCACATATATATATATATATATATTCACACATATATACACACATATATATATATATATATATATATATATATATATATATATATATATATATATATATACATATATATATACATATATATATATACATCTATATATATACATCTATATATATAGCCGTTTCCAACGTTTCCATGTGGCAAGATGTGATCATGTGAACGGTGAACCGTCAAAGACTCCGCATTACTTTGGTCAGCAACAACAAACAAAACCAAAACTTCATCTTATGGACCATCATCTTCATCTTATTATATACTTACATATTATT